ACACCGGTATTTCGTCAGCCAGATTATTCCACTAAATGGCTTATACAAAATGGTTTATCCCACCCCATAAGTCACTTAGAAGGATGGCGCAGCGGTAAGGCTCTATAGACCTACTCGTAGCAGAGAGGTGCTCGGTTCGAATTTTGGCTATGACACCTGCTATCCTGACACAAGTACTTCGTGGTTTTCCTCACTATTTCCTTTCAAATAATAGGATAGTACCTCTATTAGAAGGTAGTATCCTTTCAGAACTTTTACAATTCACCAGTCCTACCATTCAGTGCTATACAGACTGGATAGTGACAGCACGGTGAAGTAACCCGTAAGAAACCAGGAGTATTCGTAGTCGAATGATAAGCAGTCTTGCTTCATATAAGGAAAATAACCTGGAAGCGTATCATTAGCTTAAACTTCTACTGTGAATTTGATAGTAGGTTCAACGCTGTTGAGATGGTGAAGAAATTGCTGCAATTTTGCTGGTCCATGTGACCAAACCACGGAAGGGTCATCGACATATCTGAGATATTTATTGGGTTTGTGGTCTGCTGTAGCCAATGTTGTTTCCTTAAAGTGTTCCATAAATATAATAATGACCACCGGAAATAGTCAGTTTTCCATTCTTGGACGTTTTGGTCATGAAGTGGGGTCCAAAATTATGCACGAAACTGCACCGGAAATCTACTAATAAAAGGTAAAGTTGTCCCTGTGCTTAACTTATTAAGCACTACGACATGAAGGCGTGTGGGGGAGTTGATGTATAGACCCACGTTCTCTTGACCTCGGCACTAGTTGGAGTTAAGTGGTCAGCTTCACGTCCCGGCCGCTTTATCCCCGGGGGAAGAGCCCCCGTTACCAATTGAATAGGAGGATGGGTTGGCCCCAAAAGATGGTCTGCACGACATGGAGAAGTGAAAATTCTTACCCCCACAGGGACTCGAACTCCGAAACCTCGGCCGTCCAGGGAAAGCTACTCACTGGTCGTTATTTGCACTTCAGATCCAACCACCCACACAACGTAAAAAGATGAATAATTTATAGTTTTATCAGTTGAGCCAAGGTCATATGTCAGGACCAGAAGGATTCCAACAGCGAAATTAAGGACATGAGACACGATCTGGTGCTTAATGAATACCCACAAGAATTCGTTGACTCCGTAATGAAGCCATCGAGAAGCAGCCGTCCTTCTTCAGGCATAATATACAGGGTGCTGTCATTATCCCACATGTTAATGGTATTTCCGAGAAATTCAGGCGCATTGGAAACCGCTTCAATCTGAGGGCCATTTTCAAATCTAAACATACACTCCCTGGGACACTAATGAAAACTGAATCTGTTAGAGATGCCCAGTAGACGAAGCAGAGTGTGTACAGCATCCCATGTGAATGTGGCAGATGTTACATCGGTGAAACAAGAAGACCTGTAGTAGTAGGCGTTAAGAAACATAAATATAACCTGACACAGGGTCTGCTTGAAAAATCAAAATGAGGCCAACATGCGTATAGAGAAGGCCACAAAAATACGTTGGAATTAAGCGAAAGTCTTGCAGATTGAGCCCATCACAACGTACAGGAAATACAAGGAATCCGCCCACGTGTCTCTGATATACCATCCGATCAGTCAACCAAGCGTGGACATCTCTCCCATCTGGAATCCCGAAATCATAGCAGAAGTAAAAAAGAAAACTACAGCTCCGTCCAGTGTAAATTAAGTGGGAAAATTTATGTCATTTATCTTGGTACCATACAGAGAATTTATCTCCAGTGATGACTTCTATTCTGGCAGTACTCTGGTGCTAGGCCTCAAACATGTAGAATATTTAAGGTTTAATATTTTGTCTTAATTCTCGCAGATGGTTTGCACTGTGCTTGGTTGGTATATCCTAACTTGTGTTGGTGCAGGTGTTCGGAGACAGGACCTAGCTCTATCACTGGTCCCAACTGAGTAGGTCTTACCTGACGACGAAGACAGAATCCAGTCTCTGAAACGTTGCGTTAAAAAAAAAAAAAGATGATGGATAATGTCCAGAAACATAATATTGGTTTTAATGTACCATCGTCACAAACTTTTAGGCTGGGTAATACCTGTTTAGTATTAATAGGATTCCAGATGTTACTCATCGTTTGTCATTGAGGGCAGAACACTAGACGTTGTACAAAACCTAAAAATCTCTTAATACTAAACGTAATATATTGTGACACGTAGACCCATTGCCAAGTAACACCTGTGTAAACAGGCGACAGTACATAGCCGTTGCTAGGGAATAACTTTGTAAAAACGTTGTTCCCCCAGCAACTAGAAAACACAGAATAATGGAAGAGACGTTTTCTGTGAGGTCCGTGCCGAAGCTATATAACGAGGATTAGTAGAGAGCTGTAGTTTTGACAAGTGAGTAGCTGGTAGCTGAGGCTAGGATCAGTTCGGGAACCCAGAAGAATGAGAATATCTTCCGTTGGAAGCCTCTGCCAAGCAAGGGCTAGTGAAGACTGATAAGACTGTGTGTGCTGTAGTTACACTGACCTTCGGAGTGTGTAACTTAGTGAGACTGTCGTAGTTATTTGTAGTTACATTCTCTAAGTGTTCAATAAATCAGATCACCAATCCAAACTCCGTCTACAGTCACACTTATCACGTGACAATATAATCAGAAACATTTAGAACTGGTCTATTTTACCTTTAGTTGCATATGAGAGTGAAATCTGACCTCGACGAACCCATTTCCTCCAAGCAGCCGAGAAGTCAAGACCACATCTTCAACTCTGCAACAAAACAAAATTTCACAGATAACGACAAAGGATTTTCCATTTTAAGTAAATATCTGTGACTCTGGACTTGAGGTTATCGCATCGATGACTGCAGAATTCTATCTTCTGCAATATGAAGCTTTGTATCCCGGCAGAAATTTAGGAGGAACCTGTCATCTCCTTCTTCAGAGGCGAAGTGTGCCTTCTGCAATTTTCCTCCCAGTTCCTTGCTTTACATACGCTTTGACCCTGTTGATGGTGGTTCGATGATGATGACTATGTAATCAAATATGTTGCTTATAACAATTATTTTTATAAAAATTATTTCTGGTAACAGACCAATAAGCCGATCACAGTGGCCGCGAGGTCTAAGGCATGAACTATCTTCGCCCGCTTGAATACTGGAGTCGTGGGTTCGAATCCCACTCGAGGCATGGATGTTTTTGGGCGTTCATTCTGTGTTTATGTTGTTCTGTGTGTAGGTAGCGGCCTTGCAACAGGCTGATCACCCGTTCAAGGAGTCCTACAGACTGTGTATAGGATTAAGAAACTGAAAAGCGTCCAAGGTCCAAAGGGCTGTACAACTGTAGAGAAGAAAGGGAAATAGAACAATAAGGAGGAGCATCCCGTGAGAACCTCAAATCTCAAAATATTTTAATGTATGAAACCAACAGAATATTCTCAAGCTTATGGAGCGACTCTCGGCGGGGTCTTGGATTGGATATTCGATTCATTGATCACTTTAAGGTCAGACTCGTGAATACACTTAATTATAGCATCATAGCTATTTTCCACATTTTAAAAGACACTAGAAAAAGTATTTTCTATCCTGCAGTGTGTTCACTAGTAATTACTTAGTAACAGCTTTAAAAATGGCTATTCCTCTGCTTCACTGCTGAAGTTTTTCTGATTGGAGGACTCCTTCCTTCTTGTCAAAGTCAAAGTTAAAATCAAAATCACATTGCTACTGACGGTCAGTCAGTCAATAAGTCTCGGTCTCGAGCCCCCGTCTGGAGCTCATGACCAGATATTTATTACTGTTTGACAGTTACGGTCTTGTATTTGTGGGGCGCCCTCTCTGATGAGAGGACGGGTCTGTCTTTTTATATGCTGTTGGCCCTTGCCAGCGCAGTCTTTCTCGAGTCAGAGTCCCTAGGGACTATCGACCCCATTTTACTGTCTCAGATTTGAGACTTTCCTTTTCGTCGCCTCCTACGATTCGCAGGGTCACGGTGGAGGTATTTGACCCCGCCTCCACACGGGTTAACTATTCTTGCTTCAGTTGTCCTCCTAATAACCCTTTTGCACGGACCGAGTAGGAAATACCATTTTCAACAGTACCTCTATTTTTGCATGCGTATTCCTTTGCCGCAGGAACATGTTCACTGTCGTTTCCTAGATACGCCTTTGGTATATTTGCTTATCACGCGGTCGTTGCATAGTAACCGCTCTACACTCTACAATATTAAAACTTAGACTGAATATAATCGCCTCAACACAGGTATCAGTGACGTGCTCTTGTGAATATGTTAATGAGCCCTTCGATTCCTGAAAATTCAAGAAATTTCTTGAATAGGTGAGTGACTATCAGATTCTCAAGAACGACACTACTCCAGGGATTCAATTAAATTATTTAGTAAAACGATAATTAAGATAAAATGTCTATCATTAAATTTCGGGACTAGATTACTGAGCAGTTTTTTATTCTGCCAAAGTAAAGCATGTACAAATGGCGATATGTGTGTTTGTCTGTTTCTGTGTGTGTGTGTGTGTCTGCATGTGTGTGCGCGCGCAACAGACGTCTCAAAATTGTCACTCACTGTGTCCCTTGTATATTTCAGTGTTGATTAATTTTATCTATATGTATAGTAGATCCGACCAAAGAATTCCTATGCATGGTGAGTATAAGAGTTACTAGGAAGGGACAGCCTTACTATACCATCCTGACCGGCCTGCAGGCGCCCCTCGCCTAAAGCTATAGAACGATTTAACCATACAAAAGTGGGAGAATGGGGGTGGAGTAAGGGGAACACAGGCCATGACGACGGACGGGGTGGAAGATAATACATGAGAATTCTTTGAACTGCTCCACTATAGTTCCTTAGACGGGTGTCCCAAACACAAATGTTATACATATTTGTAGATTTCACCACATAACTAAGTAACAATACTAAACGAATGCTAATATTAGGAGGCATAAATACTGATAAAAGAATATAATTCTGTTCATAACCTGAGGCCTTCTCTTTTTTATTTCAGTGACTGGATGACAGCAATAAGCAATACAGTGAGTAAATCTGTTGAATAATTTTATTGTTATATTTTATTTTTCTTGTGTCTTCACTATGTATTTTAAATGCATGCTTTTTGTAGGTCACTGCTCTTGAGAAGCGTCCTAAAAATTATTTGAACCGATTCATTTTTATACATAGTACAAGGTATCCTGTCTGTAAGGCATGGTAATTTTTTTCTCTGAGGCTCATCATTTCATTGCTTGCAAAAAAAAAATATTATTTAGATTAAATTTTTACTACTCTTACTAAGTTATGATTATGGGCCGCGCCATAGCTCAAGCAGTTAGTCGCTGGCTTCCCTCCGCGGCGGCCCGGGTTCGATCAAGGGTCTGGTCAAGTGGGATTTGTGGTGAACAAAGTGGCGCTGGGGCAGGTTTTCTCCGAGTACTTCGGTTTCCCCTGCCAATCTTCATTCCATCAATTGCTCCACAATCACCCTCACCTATCATCTGTGGCTGGTACAATAGGCCAGAAGTGGCCGCAGTACAAGGGACTTAGTCCCACCCCACTAGCAATAAAAAAAAGTTATGATTAAATTTACTAGCCTTAATTCATCCGGTTTCTTGTTTGTTTCTTTAGTCATTGTGTTTGTTTTTGTGTGCTAGTTTTGTATTTGTGCTGACACCTGCCTGTTCAGTTCAGCATGTAAATAAATAAATAAATGTTTAATTATTGTAGTAGTAGTAGTATTTTATTCTCTCCTTTCAATGATTATTTTCAGCAAAACATATTGTGTTAGAATTGTGTATATTTTCAACAGTTATTACTACGTAATGAATTACGTATGTTCATGTCCCTGATTACAGACATAATTATTCTTATTCATCGCAATATATAACTTGTAGACTTCATGAGCACGTGACGATTTTAAGCAGTATCCGTAACAAACTCTTGTTTATTCGGGGGTTAACATCGCAACAAAATATGACTTGTATTGGCATTCTGTGCAGGTTCAATTTTGGTTGGCAATTACAGTTTCTGCTGATGTAATGGTCAATGAATATGCAGATTTGCATTATATGAGCATCACTACTTGCCCTGTTAATGTGCTGTCGTGTAATGTATGTCGTATCCTTTTTTTATATGTCCGTTATTATATATGTCCGTGTGAGTCTACGAAGTGTTTATTATACTGGACATCCGGTTTCGTAGTTATAATAATGAGAATATTAAGGGTACTATCTTCTGGGATGTAGCGCCGTTTAGTCCGGTAGATCACTGATGCTTCACAGAAACACACTGCCTCCGGAACGTCCGTGAAATTCTAACGAATTACCCGGCATTATATCCCAGAAGATGGTTATCTTCATGACCATCGCTGTGAGAACCTCAAGTCCAGCAATGAGCGTATTCTGTCTATGAGATATTGCTAATGTAAGCCCATTGTTGCTATTTTTGTACGAAGCCAATAATTGAAGCTTATGTTAATGAAGAGACCGCTAAATTGGGAATGCTTCCTATCAGTCCGTTCGGACTAGTTTATCTTCCTGTTTGCTGTCTACAAACTTAAAGATTAGAATATACAAAAATCGAATGTTTCTCCTTGCTTTGTATGGGTGTGAAACTTGGATTCTCACAGAATCTGAGCTTTTGGGAATGGGGCACTAAGGGGGATATTTGGATGTAAGAGGGATGAAATAACAGGAGAGTAAGAATTTTTAAATTTCTATTCCCGGCAGGGGCAAGCGATTTCTTTCCTTCCCACAGCGTCCAGACCAGCTCTGAGGCCCACCCAGGCTCCTATCCAATGGGTACTAGGGGCTCTATACCTGGGGATTAAGCGGCCGGGGCATGAAGCTGAGCATTCACCTCCATCCAATGACAAAGTCAAGTGTGGCTGAGCTATACCTCCACTCCTCCATGCGTTTTCATGGTATAATGCTTTAATACGTAATTAAGTGCAGGGATAGCTTTATCTTGTATCTTATAATTACTAAATTTACAAATCTCGTCCCCCGACACTAAACTTAAATATCTGTACAGAACTGTTAGGCTTATTTTGGATTGTATCCATCAGTGATTGAGACTAGCTCTTTCTATCGGGCCCAACTGAGTAGGTTTATCCTGCCCCATCCACCTGAGGACGGAGACAGATCCAGTCTCCGAAACGTAGTTTTTTTTCGTCTATACACCAGACGATGGATAGAGTCCAAAATAAGCCTAATAGTTCTGTACAGCATACACCATCGTCAGAATCCTTTCAAGTCTATTTAAATATCTGGTTATGAAGCTCTCTTTATGTCACATGTCTCGTTCCTGCATCCTGTAGTGACATATTCATTCGAGTTTTGTGTAATTCATTGAACCTGGTTCCAAGCAGTTAACATGACGACAAATGTGATATCTGAAGAAAGATTTAATCACAAAGCAGCTTCTGGCTGAAGGAAAATATGAAAGTTCTTTCTGTTGAGCTTATTGGCCAAGGATATTAAAGATTCAATAGTCTTTTCGGAAACGATTCCTTCTTTACTTTGAAATCTTTTCCTCTTTGTCGTTCTGCAGATGTGCCTCAAATTCCTCTCTCAGAATCCACTTATGACTTAGGATATACTCACATATATACTGTCATGTGTATGAGTGTGACTGTAGACGGGGTTCAGACTGGTAACCGGATGTATTGAATTCTTTCATACTCGCGTGACTATATAATTCACTATTACACACACACAAACACACTCACTAGTATCCATAGTCACGTCTTCGCTATCCGTTGTTCGGTAGTGGCTTTCAACAACGGACATTCCCCTACCTCTGGGTTTCCGAACTATCGCCGGCCTCAGTTACCAGGATCTCTCGGCTAATTGACTGTCTCTAGACTTGCCCTGCTTATAACATATTGGCACGGACCGCGTAGAAAACACCACTTCCCATTATTGTTCTATCCTCTCGTTGACCTGGAAACATGTTCATACTAGGAGAAGAGCACAGATACGAGGATAAATAAGTACTTTACCTAAAAAATGGAAATAAATGAGTTCAGGATATAGACGTGCATTAGGAGAAACTTCTGCATTTATAAAGGTTATCTAACATTCCTAGGGTAGCAGGATGTAGGAGCCCACTATAAACTACGCACGTGGATACAATTGGGGAGAGACAACAAATACATAAAGAATTTTATTGCGGAAATATCTTTGTAAACGTTGGATATGAGGTTCTCACAGTCGTGACTATGAAGATTACGGTTCTTAACTGCAGCGCCCTTGTGTTTTAGAGAAATCCCGTCGTTTCGGAGGAATATACCTCCTATTTTAGCACACAAATGTAAGCCAGCAAAGAAACCAAGAGGAACAGGTAGCAAGGCTGAGCGAGTTTCTCCCGAAACGTCAGACCCTATATAAGCTACAATACATTACAACCTTGTTTACATCGATTAAATGGAGTGGAGACAGCAAGATAACATTAATCATGTTACCATTCGGCGATTTATGGTACACTTATTGAAAACATCGTAAAGTAACTCGCACATAACTCTTCAAGACTGAATAAATCAGTTCCGCTCTCGCAGGTGTAATGCAACCTAACAATGCTGAATTGTATAAATAGCGTTTTGAAGTTACACATAAAAGATTTATCTGATAATGAGATATATAGAAACCCATCCCCCCCCCCTTACTTATATGGTTGGGTTGAATAGAATTCACTGAAAACCATTTACTTAATAAGGACACCTATACACAACCCGCCTCTTCTTGCAGCGCGAGATTCCTTTTCTGTCCAGTAGCCCTGCTCAGAGAAGTGGGAAAGCGAGAGACTCCCAGTTACCGAAATACTATTCCTTCTTTCAACTTCTTCCACTCCCTCGCACACAACCGCCATTTTTCTCAGCGGAGGCGCGCGGTAGCGTAGTTGTTCGAGGCACTATGCTACAAGCCAGAAGGTTGCGGGTTCGATTCCCGATGAGATCACTGGATTTTTCAACTGATCTAATCCTTCCAGCCGCACCATGACCCTGGATCGACTCAGTTTCTGACAGAAATGTGTATCAAGAATCTTCCTGGGGTAAAGGGCGTCCTGGAGGCGCATAAGACTGATAGCCTCACGGTCATCTGCGAGTCGATTGTCTAGAAAATTTGGGAGCCTCGACGTCTCACAACCTTGTGGGCCTCAACGGCCTGTTACAGAGATACCTTTACATTTTTACCTTTATGTAAAGTTCTCATGAAAAATTGTATTTTCTAAACAGGATACCTCATAGTCAGGTAAAGTTCACCGATTTTTCGGAGGGAGGAGAGAAAGATTTGCACGACTCCCAGAGTAATGAGACAGAAAAATATGGATATGAGTCCCGCAGGATTCGGAACCAAGATTGACGGTGCTGGCGAAGATCAGCAGAAATTTTCCCGATCGACCGACATTTCGAAGTAAAATACGCGAAATCTGCTTGCTGACTGCTTCCTGCCCGTGGCCTATGGGCTTATGATTCTTCACCGAAGATGGAGACAATACGACCTTCCAAAACCTCTGTGAACTTGTACCGGACTACACGGCGTCACATCCCTGAAGATTTTTGTCTGCTGGCATATGACATAATGTAGTTTGGTTGAGGTTAGCGATGTTTCGGAGGAACGTGTTATCTCAAGCCCATACCACGAAAATATCAGCAGCAAGATCCCCCAAAATATATTTCAGACTGCACGGCGCCACATCCCAGAAGAGAGTAATCTTGATTAATATGGTTTTTTTTCTATTTCTCATACAGGCTCCAAGTTTTAACGCTCGCTCGTGATTCGGTGAAGAAAGCCTCGTTCGTTTTCAAACTGTGGTCAGAAAGTCAGTTTTACTCCAAGTTATTAAATTACAGGGCGTGTATTTAAAATTGATTAATGCTGCAATTTTTCAAACATATTTGAATTATTCGTATCATGCGTACAAGTCAGCAATTAAAATGCTGAATGCTCTTTGTGTAAAGAACTCATTAATTAATTACAATATTACAAAGCTCAGTGAATTTTGTCATTACACTATATTGTAAAACCAATTGACAATTAAT